CATTCAGCGACCATGACGGGATATTTTTTAGTGTTGGCGATTAATGTTATTATATTTTCACATGTACCACATACGTTTGTATTTAAACACTTTGTTGTAGAACACCTTAATTTAATTTATCATAAGTCTTTTTGTTTTATTTAATGTATTTGAAATTTAAAAGTAGTAGATAAAAATTAAATAAAGAATAAAATAACAAGTAAGAAAGTCTAAGTTCGGGTGGAGCCGAACATTAAATACCCGGCGCAAGTATTAAATATATGTTTTTTCACCTTTCCGAAAGCTACCGCTAGATGGTAAGCCGGGGTGTATCAATTTTGAGTAAATTAGCGTCCTTCAATTTCGAAATATTGCAGTTTAAAGCATTTCTGAAAATTACCGCTATATGAAAAGCGGCTGTAAGTTTAGTCCGATTTCAATTATTTTCAACATTTTGCTTTTATGTGGCAAGCACAATAACCATACCGAGTTTGGTACAAATTGGTATAACGGTTACCGAGATACATATATGTAATCATAAGTGGGCGGTGCCACGCTCATTTTCCAAAATTTTATCATAAACGTCTTTCTTGGTAAAGAATTGTTGCAAGCATCAATTTTGAATAAATTTGCTTTAATAATTACTGATTTATCGAAGATTTTGTATTTTTCTAAATTACCGTTATATGGGATGTAGGCGTGGTTATCGTCCGATTTTAAAAATGGTCGGCCATTTGGTATGCTGTGCTAACGCCAACAACTGTGCCAAGTTTGGAAGAAATTGGTGCAGCGGTTACCAAGATATACACATGTAACCATAAGTGGGGCGTGGCTACGCCCATTTTCCAAAAATTTATAATATTCTTATTTTTCGTCTAAAAATTATTGTAAATATCAATTTTTAATGAATAATCTCTAGTAGTTACTAAAATATCGCAGTTTTCGTATTTCTGAAAATTACCGTTATATGGGAAGTGGTCGTGGTTACAGTCCGATTTAGCCCATTTTCAATACCAACCTACCTTGGATAAATGGAAACCTACATACCAAATTTCGTTGAGATATCTTAATTTTTGCTCGAGTTATCGTGTACACCGACGGACGGACAGACAGACATGGCTTAATCGACCTCTCTATGCATTCTGAGCATTTATGTATACATTTGTCTATATCTATCTCGATTCGTTTTGGCTGTTACAAACAAGCGTTATGTGAACAAAGTTAATATGCCCTTGTGCACAAGAGCGCTCGGGTATAAAAATTAACTGAACACATAAGGAAATTTGTATGTACGATGTAAATATTTATTAGATATTTATAAAAAAATAAATAGTATTTTCATATTGAATATTTTTACGCTGAAAATTTAGTAAGAAGTAGTAGATGAAAGACAGCTTTTTTATTTTCATGAAAGGTATGAAGGCTTCGGCATAGCCGAAGACAGCCCCTTTTTACTTGTTTTACCTAATTCTGGTGTTGAAGCAAATTCGTTTATATAAAGGTTTTGTACATTTTCATTTTTTACCTTCTTAGGGCCGGTTACTCAATGTCTGGTTAACACTAATCTGCGGTTAAACATCGTTATCGACGTCTACGACTCCATGTATACAACAGTCTTTAATTATGTGTCCAGGTTTGTTGCAAAACCCACACTTAAGGAATTTTTTGCTGGTTTTCCCTTTTGACTTGCTTGTGAACATAGCCTCATCTTCAGACTTTTGACTAACCGCTCTTGCCTCAGACTCTTCTAAAATTTTTACTTTGTGTTCTTCGGGTGAGGGCAGTGAGTCCCTTGATTCGATTGCAATCCGGAAACTATCAAATGCGGTAGGAAGACTGTAGAGCATCATAATGCTCAGAAGGTCGTTGTGAATTTTGATTTCCATATTTGCAAGTTTATCCACGGTGTCCATGAAATCATTTAGGTGCTCTCTCATAGAAACATTTTCTGCTGAGCTAGCCTTTTTAAGTATGAGCTTCTTTAAGAGTGTGGCTTTCCTAGCTGGTCCTTTACCTTCGTAGATCTTCGCTAATAAGTCCCATAACTCTTTGGATGTGGTGGCGTTTTTTACCTGTCGCAGGTCCGGTGGCGAGGTTATAAGCAGCAAGTCTGATCGCGCAAGTAAATCTTGTTCGTCGAACAGGTCAAATGCCGCCTGGTTACCCTCTCACTTTTGCGTGCCGGAAACGTATTTCCACAGTCTATTTTTTATGTGCTTTTTTAAAGGTTCAATAGAGTAAATACTGGCTTTGGCCATGGTCAATACACGAGGAG